GTGACAACTTCCGGCCAGACAGGAAGTGGAAAAAGACCGCGAAACTTGACAAAAAAATCGGTTTTTGTTTTTTGTTTGGACATAGGTGCGATTTAGCGTCCGATATCGGAAAAATGACTAAAACAAATGTTGTAGAGCGTAGTTTTAACTTTAAAACCGTACCCTTTGCGTTGAAATCCGACCAATAGGAGGGGAGCTACAAACCGTTAAGTGCGATCCCACGCCCCGCTCGCCGTTGCGCGACTTGCCTGAGAGGTGCACCAGATCGACCAGATACGGTTGGCTTAATAGCGGCGCATCTCTGACTTATTCGTATTTTGACTGTGAGCGTTTTAGACTTTTGGGATGTGTTTAGTGCGTAAATTTTGAGGGAAACTGTACTGTATTTTTTTCTAAACAAAACAATCCAAATTAAAAATTGTTGAGTAAACTTCGTCGTAAAACAAGGACAGGTTCGCTGTTTTAATTCGACGTTCCTTCTCCATCGGATTCTTCGTCTTCGGACTGGGGTTCGGGAACATTATTACAGCTCCTGCCTCTACAATGGGCGCATGTAGGTTGGCAGAGCCGCACGAACAGCGGTTAAAACAACCTTGCTGGCAAGCGCAAGAAATCAAATGTGGATGTTCGTCTGGTGCTGGTGGCAGACTTGTCGGATTTGGAACAAGTGTGGGCCCCATTTTTTTTAGCCCCAATCCGTTGGCAAAAGACAGTTCGATAGCCATTCTTGAACCTAAAATAAGGAAAATAGGAAATAGAATTAATTAAATCATTCTAAAAACTACTGTACAATCAGATTCAATATAAACATCTCGCCAGGAAAGATTGCCGGTCACAGAAGACCTGATCCCGGTCTACAACCTGTCTTTTTCTAAAGATGTGAGCGACTTCCAGGATGGGATCGTGCCAATCTTGAACGAAAAGTGGCACGATCCTATTCCGGAAGTCGCTCGCATCTTAAAAAAAACATAGATTGTAATTTGACACAAGGTGCGCTGTGACCGGCAATCTTTCCTGGCGAGAGTCTTCTTTACTGCCGTAGAGATGAACAATAAATTTTTCACCAGCTGATACGATCGATTCTTTTGATGTGCCCGGTTTGTTGAACGTGAACGCAATATTTTGTAGGTGTGGGTTTTCTAAAAGCTTCCATGACTTCTTTTTTCCTTGGTTGTACAGCGCCGATGTATTATCGCAGCCCGTTATCGCACGAAGGAATAGGCGCGAAGACAGACTGCCTACTATTCCTTCATGCGATAAAGGGTTGCGATACTACATCGGCGCTGTACAACCAAGGAAAAAAGAAGGCATGGAAGCTTTTAGAAAACCCACACCTACAAAATCTTGCATTCACGTTCAACAAACCGGGCACACCAAAAGAATCCATCGTATCAGCTGGTGAAAAATGTATTGTCCATCTCTACGGCAGTAAAGAAGACAATCAAAACCTGGACGATCTCCAAATTCACCTCTATGCTCGCGCAGTAGCAAAGCAAAGCAAAGCTACGTTTGATCTAGCTACATTGCCGCCAACAACCGCCGCTGCCGAGCAACACAGTTTGCGGACGTACTTGCAAGTGAGATATGGAATCTGATTGTACAGTAGTTTTTAGAAAGATTTAGTTAATTCTATTTCTTATTTTCCTTACTTTAGGTTCACGAATGGCCATCGAACAGTCTCTTGCCAACGGATTGGGGCTGGAAAAAAATGGGGCCCACACTTGTTCCAAATCCGACAAATCTGCCACCAGCACCAGACGAACATCTACATTTGATTTCTTGCGCTTGCCAGCAAGGTTGTTTTAACCGCTGTTCGTGCCGCTCTGCCAACCTACACTGCACTTTAATGTGCGCGCATTGTAGAGGCAGGAGCTGTTATAATGTTATATATAATAATGTTCCCGAACCCCCTTTGTTTTACGACGAAGTTTACTCAAAAATTTTTAATTTGGATTGTTTTGTTTAGAAAAAAATACAGTACAGTTTCCCTCAAAATTTACGCACTAAACACATTCCAAAAGTCTAAAACGCTCACAGTCAAAATACAAATAAGTCTGAGATGCGCCGCTATTAAGCCAACCGTATCTGGTCGATCTGGTGCACCTCTCAGGCAAGTCGCGCAACGGCGAGCGGCGCGTGGGATCGCACTTAACGGTTTCTAGCTCCCCTCCTATTGGTCGGATTTCAACGCAAAGGGTACGGTTTTAAAGTTAAAACTACGCTCTACAACATTTGTTTTGGTCATTTTTCCGATATCGGACGCTAAATCGCACCTATGTCCAAACAAAAAACAAAAACCGATTTTTTCGTCAAGTTTCGCGGTCTTTTCCCACTTCCTGTCTGGCCGGAAGTTGTCACTGGCACTTGCAAAATATCAAAAGATAGCCTGGTTACTAACCTTTAATTTAAGCCCTCCCGCGACTCTGGGACTTGTTCCGTTCGTCCGCTAGGCTATAATTATAGTGGCGTCGTGCAGATTTCAAGAGTTCGGACTTTCGAAAGCCCGAACTTCAAGGAAGCCGACATGGGAATTCTTGGGACTTTTTATATGTTGTTCAGGGCATCAAATAGAACAACTGTGCCAACTTTCAGATTTACGTTATTTTTCGTAGGGTTGACCCCATTTCTGATCTAAAATGCCTGGGCTAACAGTAATTATGTCATTTAGAACATTAGAAAGGTACGTTAAAATCATTAATATTTATGTATAGTTTAACACTGGAGCGCTATAAAATCTTAATGAATGAGAAAAATCGAAAAAGTTTGTAATGAAAATTATTCCTTGAAAACTCCTCTATAAAAATGGCCTGATGTCATTTTTTTGTAAAATGACCACAAAAAAAGTTGTAACGGCCAATTGAAAATTTTTTACAAAATGTTCATCAATTTTCGTTTATAACTTTGTTACTTTTGGTTACCTATACGACTAAAAGTTACTGAACCAAAGTTGTAGAGAATTTTATTCTTATTCAAAAATGTCTGAACACATTTTTTGTGAGACCAATAGTTTGTCAGATAAACCATAAAAACCATTTGCACCCCTTTTTTCAAGATGGGGGCCGCGGGACCAGGGCTGCAACCCCACAAACTTGGATTTAACTATAGACTAACCCCTCCTTGATATCTAAAAAATAAAATTGCGTCCTCTGACAAACGCACGCTAAGCCCAAAAAAATGTAACATTTCAATGGACTAAATTGCACCGTCAAAATTAAGTATCACTTAAAGTTAAGCATATTAACTTAAATGTCATAGCAACGATTGTCTTAATATAATCGTTGCCATAGATTTTAAGCTCGACTTAACTTTACAAGCAAGGCTTAACTTTGATGGTACAACTGGGCATACTCCTCAATTCATATTAGGGGAAAACTACCACATTTTCCTTGATGAGGATGTGGCATCCCAACCCGACATATTCATCTTCACATATGGATCTAAAACAATAGAAGGAACAGGCACTGGTATTTACTCCAACGAACTGAACTTCCATATCACCCAACCACTAGGCAAGCTTCTTATGACCGTTTGCACCGACAAATGGAGCTTAGCTTAAGCGTAGCTTAAAATCCATGGCAGCGATTATTGAGACAATGGTTGCCATGGATTTTAAACTACACTTAAGCTAAGTTACACTTAAATTTGTCGGTGCAAACGGCCATTACTGTATTCCAATCACTCAATCAGAGTTGGTAACCCTTAGTGCAAGAAAAGTTCTTATGCACAAAACTATCAGAATCTCCTGTGTAGCAAGCAGCTTGCATGGGTCAAAGGGCATGCTGGAATGGAAGGTAATGAGAAATCCGATGGGTTATCCCGACTGACCCCAAAACAGGTGTTTTATGGTCCGGAGCCGGCTCTTCCACTTACAGCTGCAACTGTAAACAACTTAATAACTCAGGACACTTAAACCCAGCACAGGGCTAGATGGAACATGATGTTAGATTGTCGCGATGCGAGAGAAGCCTGCAAAGGACCATCTCGTAACCTGGGGCGCTTTTTCACAGGGCTATCAAGAAAGAACCTCGTGGGAGTACTTTCTGGGCACTGCAAACAAAACAAACACATGCACCGCATGGGTTTGATAGAATCACCATCTTGTAGAGGAAGTTACACGGACGATGAAACGGCACACCAGATACTTTGTTGAATGCCTCGCTCTAGTCCAACTCAGACGATCCATGTTAAGGGTATCCTGACCGGACATGGCTACGATTAGAGCCGCCTCCCCTTCCAGCATCCTTAGGTTCATCTCAGGTGTGGGATGGCTTGAGTGACGTTGAGGGGTCGAACGACTCTAATCAGATGGGTAGTACAAAGGGCCCGAATTTGAGGCGTAGGTACGCGTGGACCCTGTCTACCTTCCTATCGTAATCCAGAATCAAGAATCGGTCACAAAAGGAATTTGATATCATCAAACATACATTCATTTTATTTCGTTCGTGGCCGTAGACGTAGAGGAGAATCTACGGGTACCTCTAGAGCGCACAGTTCGGGAATACACAACGTGGAGGGTGAGAGTCAAGATGACCACCAACATTTGTGTGCAGGAGCTGGATTTTCAAAAGTTTGAACGGCACAATTCAGTAAGCATCGAGCACAAATGATTGCCATTATTGCTTATTCCATATCTGTAAAAAGCGTGGGGGGCTAGGAGTCCAGTTGGCCCCCGAGATTTGAGTGCAGGAACTACCATGTAGCGGAAGACTATTTTCAAATATTTGACCGGCACAATCCAATATGCATCGAGCACAACTGGTTCAAGTAGTAATGGAATTTGTATACGTTACAAAAACCGGGGGGCTGGGAGTCAAATTGGCCCCCGCGTTTCAATAAAAAAAAAATTGATTTGCCAGATCAGCACAAATTAAAATCGAATCAGCACAATTTAGCACTATATAAAAATGGTCATTACACATTTTTTTTTAATTTGCGGGGGCTAACTTGATGGAGTCCAATTTCTACGCCGTCGAAAACTACTTCCTGGTTGTAATTGTCAACTCTGGCAATTGGAATTTTATGTGAAATGCCAAAATGACACTAAAGCTTATTAGACATGAGTGAAGACACAAATTATGAACCTGCAATATTGCCTCCAGTAGACGATGCAAATCAAGAAACCGAAACATCACCCAATGAACCTGGACCATCAGGTTTAAATTTCACAACGCAAACTAGTGTTATAATAACTGTCGATTCTTTGGAAAACGAAAGTTCATCCAGTAGCAGTGCCACCATCGCCCCTGTGAGTACTACGACGCAAACAACAGAATGTACTCGCCATTCAAGACGGAAATCCGGTATATTTCGATTCATTAAAGCGAAATCTGAGGGAAATTTAGCTGAGCAAGTTCAAGATCGGCAGCGAATAAATGCTTCGTGGTCGCAAAGACTTGTTGGAATAAGGCCTCCATGTCACGAAAATATACAACTAAGTAATGGTCCTGTGTCCGCCGCAGCGTCGCAGACCCATGAAGATGATGCGCAGGATTCAGAAGTGGGCGGCGTGCTGGGTCGATATTATCGATCACTAGTGACCGGCGCTAATTCGAATAATTCACCATCGCAGGTGTCTTCGTTTTTTTATATCGCACCTCCAATAACTGGCGCCCCACCGTCGTATTCAGCTATAATGAGAATGGATGAGAGACGATTGCACGAAACTACCAGAAGCGGTATCACAATGCAACCATCGGCACCGTTCATTGCGCCCAGGCCTCCCCCATCTTACACCGAATCGCTGGGAATCACGACGACGGCGTCGCGAGGACTGGAATTATACGCACCATCAAACATAAGTAGTAATAACAAACACGCCGTTAATTCCCCAACTTAGCACCTTTCATCTTGTAGTCGGCGATTTCGTTTGGGGTGCGCATCCAACTCCCGTCGTTTGTCACATGTGCGAGCAGGTGGTACTGTCTTTAGTACGCACGAGAATTTCCACCTTTACTCATATCGTTGCAGCGGTCTTTTGCATGTTTGGATGTTGGCCCTGTTGTTTCATACCGTACTTTATAGATTCGTGCAAGAATGTAACGCACCACTGTCCTAATTGTAATGCCATTCTTGGCATGTACACTCCGACATAAACCAGAAGACCCGTCGTGCTTGAAATACATCTAACTCTCCTTTGAATAAAAAATTTCAAAAATTTTACATTATTTTATTTCTATTATGGGACAGTTACGGTCATTGGCCAAAGTAAAGATTTTAGATACTGTCGCTTGTAGGTTTTCCAAACTGGGTCGCTTTTCGGTAATTAGAGCAACGTTAGGGTGCGGTTTCTGTCCCCGTTTAGCGTCCAGCACTTATTGTCTGGGTATCTAAGAGAGTGCGGCGTCCCTAAGGTACAGCTTCTTGTTTACAGCGTCAGAGTTGGGTAGTGGGAATTAGGTTGTTGATAGAGAGTCGTGTGGTAATACGCGTTAAGTCACAATAGCGTTCGCGTCGAGCGGTTAAAAACGTTTACGTCAACCACGCGTACGTTTGCGCGCGGTGGTTTTATAATGTGTGAAGAATTCAGATTAAGCGTTTGACAGGGATAAATTACGACAGGGTAGTTTTAAATTTTTTGACAAAATTAACGTGAATATGGCGGTAGCGGGTTTGGTGGTGGTTACCCCTTCAGGGAGCATCCTGGCTCTGAAAAGAGCACCTTATATTTATTCTCAGTTATACCGTATGCAAGTGTACTCATATTTAAATACTATAATTGCGTTTTTAACAACCATCTAAGTTTGGCGTCCTAGTCACCTACTGCAGAAACATCCCCTATTGAACACAAAAAAAGGTCTACGAATTATAAGCATTTATTCATTGTATCTACATAAAATTAGCTACACTTCATTTGCATGTTTACGTTTTCTATGCTTAGCCAACGTTCCTTTCGTATTAAACTTCATTAAACATAAGTTACATTCGAACTCCTTCAAATTATTATGCGTACGCAAATGTTCCTCATACCCCGTCGTAATGACCTTATTACAAATATCGCAAGCTTTCTTCTTAACACCCCCCTCGTGATACTTCAAATGCGCATCCAAATTCTTCTGAGACACAAACTTCTTATCGCAATACTGACAGGCGAAGTTTTTGACGCCGTTGTGATTGTTAACGTGCGATTCCAAATACTCCTTTCGCATGAAGCCCTTATTGCAAATGGTGCAGATGAATGGCAGTTTATCGTTGTGAAATTTCATGTGGTAATTTAAGTTACTGACGGTTTTGTAGCTTTTCTCGCACTTGGTGCACTGATATTTCTTCTCGGTGGTGTGAGTGTTTTTATGCGATTTATAATCGGAAATCTTGACAAAGCCAATGTTGCAAATGGAGCAGATCGCGACGAACTTTTTCTCGTGCTTGAGTTTGACGTGATTTTTGAGCTTGGTGCTCGATGCAAATTTCTTGTCGCAATTCCCGTGTGAGCAGGCGTACGGTAAGTTACCCGAGCAGTAGTTCTCGTGCTCCTTCAAGTTGGTTTTGGTACGAAAGAGCTTTTTGCACGTTTTACAGTCGAAGGCGGATATAGTTTTGGGCTTGGGTTTCACGTGCAGCCGTAAGTGAAGCTTAAAGCTGAGATACCTAGTGAATCTGCAGCCGCATGATTCGCATAGAAAGCGGTTTCTGAGTTTGTGACTCGACATGTGCGATGCGTAGAGCTTTTTGAACGAAAATATTTTCTTGCAGAATTTACATTTGAAACTGTGCAACCCGCAGAAGTGCTTAAATTTCTTCCTCTTCTTGTAATCCTCAGTCTTCGGCGATTCTGAACTGGTCGCGGTCAGATTGTGATCCTTACACGTCTTCTCGTACTTACTGCACAACTCCAACTTACTCGCCTCCAGTTTTAGTTGAAGATTATCAATTGTGTTGATTAGATTCAGGCAGTGACAGCACAGATAGTTTCGTTTGTAGTACAGCATTCCAACGAACTGTAGGAGTTTATTAATCACTGGCTGTTGAGACGACATCGTTAGAGGTGTCTCTGTATTTAAAATGTAAAATTGACTCCCAACAGGCGTATACAAGGCATTGCATATGATGCAATGGGTCGAGTACCCGTACGTTTTTTCATTATCTTCACTACAGTCAGTAACTTCGTCATCAGATTCTTCAACAATTATATCACTTTCGTCGTTGGATCCCTCGGCTTGCTGTTGATTTAGGTTGTTTAAATCGAGAAATGCCCCACCATAGAAGGCTTCTTGGTTGATATCCAAATTAAATAAATCGTTTCCGTAACCGTAGTCAGCTTCTCCATCAATAAATGGGTAGTTGTGAGGATATTTCGTGCGTTCGTCTAAAGCCATAAAGTTGCCCCCATGATCCAAAATCTGCGAGCAGGACGGATAGTCGAATTTTTGAGTGTTTGAAGACCACTGGGTTTGTGTGTCGTTGGGCTTCTTGTAAAAGTCAGGTATGAGCGAATCAATATTACTACAGCAGCTAACGGGACTTAGATCCTTGCTTGTGATTTCGATCGTTTCCATTTTATCTGAGAAATGCAGGCCTCTTTCAATGTCGGCGACGGCTCGAGGATCCGGTATCCAAGTCGTCGAATCGAGTTGGTCTGCGGAGCAGTTTGAAAACGAATACGTTGGGTTTCGGGTGATATGGGTGGAATAGTTGTACTCGTAATGCATATTGTAGGTATTAACGTTGTTCGTTTGAGACATCGAAAAGGACGTGTATTGTACATTATTTTGAGACTGTTGGGCACAAGGAGGCCTCATGTAATTATCGTAATTATCCATTTGAAATATTTAAAAGAAGTTTGAAATTAACCTTTACAAATATGAAATATTGAGGTTAGAAAATACACAACGCGTATATTCAGCCACAGCCTGTCAATTCAATACACGCAGCGTTGCCAGATTGCGAATTTAGCAAAGAATAATTCCTCCACAAGCCAAAGTGATAAGCCAATTTTTATTAGAATTGAAAAAACGCATTTAAAATGTAAGTTGAGAAAATTCAAAATAGAAAACAGTTATTTTAAATAAATATCATACAATCCATTTATTTACAATAAAATCTGCATTACCTTTAATTATGAATAGTAGTTTTCCTAATAAATTATTTCTTTTTCTCAGAGGAGTTGACGAGGAAAGTAGCTTGATGAGAATTTCCTTACGTTGCGTTGAGACGATAGTTTCGCTCAGGGCTTTAAAAAAGCTATAGAAGGATCTAAAAACTTGAAAAGGTAGAGTACGGCCCGAACAAACGATGTAAAGTGCCAAACAGGACTTAGTAAGCCTTTGAACACTTGAAAAGCGTTTGAAAGGTTTTCGAATGCCTTTTAGCACGTTCCACACCCTCTTAAACCCCTCTACGAGCACTCTTATGTCACTTTGACTGCCTTTTGAACACTTATTTCCTCAGTTACGTGCTTAGCGATTTCTGACATGGCTTAAAAAGCTCAGAAAGTTGCTGAAATGGCTCGTAATAATAATAATATAATACTAGAAATACCAGGCCCTATCCTACAGAATGCTAAATAAAAATGAGTTTCTTCAAAATTTAACTTTTTCACACGGAAGAATTTTGTTGGGGCCCAGTACCTTCCCTTTAGGTATAATATTTACTTCTCACGCATCGATTCGCTTTTTATTAAGCGAATTATCTAGTCCACCAAAAATTTTTCATATTCGCGCATGCAGATTTTGATGTGTTTAATGTAAGTACTCGTTCCACTAAAAGGCGATCCTGTTAAAATTTCAGTAAGAACAACACATAAATAGAAAATTTAAGCTTTTGATAGGTTCAATATAATCGATCGGATGCAAAAATCAAGTGCGTACTTTTACCCATCTTACTCTATACCTTTGCTCTATATTCAAAGCGCTCATGTACCAACATATTTATAAACTGTGAATATACAGGATGGCTAAACGAAACTCGAAAACAGACTTAACTCGTAACGAAAAATGCAAAAACACGTCGATTTGAATTGGAAGGGGGACCCCCTAGGCCTAGTTTCCACCCCTTCAATAATTTTAAATTGAACGTTGGGTCGACTGACATATCATTGGAAAGGGGCGAGTCGCTTCTAGGATACAGGGTGTCAAATCACAAATAATTGAAATGAATATTCAAATTTTGAACCATGAAATATTGTTGCGTTTTTTTCCAAAAACTATTTCCTTGCGAGTTATTCAGTCTGTTTCATTTTCGTTGTGTCACCCTGAATATATATAACCAGAAGAAAGTGAATTTAATTGAATATTTGTAGAAATAGGAAGAAAGTGAAACGATCCGTGGACCGCATTCTCGGCGCAATTCGCCAAGTGTTCATGGCAGCGCTGGCCATTTTGTAAAGGTCGAGCCACCCTCTGGCGCCGCCACTAGATTATATTTATTCAATGATTATACACGGTGTCCATTTTTCGAGTGCCACTATGGGGATCTCGTTTACCTAAAGAGATAGAGGGTTGGTTAATGGAGGCAAAGTTGCGAATTTTCGTGCTGCATAATAATCTGAAAAGAAATGAAAAATATCTTTAATAGTTTTGAAAATATCGCAAAAACACATTATTTAGACACTTTTTAATTTTTCGGGAAGAGTGCTTTGGAAAAACAAAACGTTCTTTTATCGTGAACAAAAGTTTGACAGTTTAATCCATCTGTCTGGTTGGAGCGTTGGCAGGGAACTAGTTGTGTTGAGATTTTCATCTGAATAGAATTGAACCTTCGTTTTGCAAGAAAATTATAATTCAAATTAGAACAAAATACGCAATTCGCAATAATTCTAGCACAAACGTAAATGACACTACTTGAAATAAGTCAACCTTTTGTTCACAACAAAAGAACGTTTTATTTTTCCAAAGCACTCTTCGCAGAAAAATGTGTTACTGAACCATACCATGTGTGATATATCGTTGTAAAGAGAAAAAAAGACGTAATCTCAAAATGTCAAAATCCAAAACGACGCCCATAAGAAAAATTAAAGTTGCCACTTGTTTTTCTCCGCCGTCTTTAAAGTTATTGAAAACGGGATGCCATATTCGAAATCTCCATTAAAAAGTGTCTGAATAATGTGTTAATTAGAAATGTCTAGAACGATTAGTTAACTATGAAAAAATTAAAAACGAAAATCAGAAATTTTCTTTTTTTTGCAATATTTTCAAAACTATTGAAGATATTTTAAATTTCTTTTCAGATTATTATTCAACACGAAAATTCGCAACTTTGCCCTCGTTTAACCAAATGTCTATCTCTTAAGATATGCGAGATCCCCATAGTGGCACTCGAAAAATGGACACCGTGTAGTCTTTTAAGATTTTGAAATAGCTTTTGTAATTTTTAGCAGGGTTTCCATAAATCCCTTTACCAGAAGGACTTCCAATAAAATAAGATGATTCTTGCACAGATTCCTGAGAAGTTCCCTGTAGTCACTCTCTAGATGGCTCTAGAAATATTTCTAAGGAAACCACTACATTCTCATTTCTGAGACTATAAGAATATTTTTAAGAACTCTCGTAGGGCAGTGTCTAAAATTAATTTAAGTTTTTAGTGATTTCAAAAATAACGTTAAGGTTTTTAAGAATTGCTCCAAGACGATTTTTGAGAAAGTGAATTAATTTTCAAGTTTTGACTATAATTTACTGAGTAGACTTAGGGAGGCAACATGCTTTACAGACTGCAGGCAAAATATTCTGTAAAAAAATGACTAAAAAACGAAACAGATTTCTAAGGAGGTTTCTATGAAGGTCTTTAAACATTACAAATATTCCTATACAAGCCAAAAGATAAATTTCAGAGGAAAAAGAAATATAGAAAGAATGAAATTCTTAATCTCCAAATCTCCAAAAACATTTAGAATTGGGTGAGGTGAGGCCTCAAAGGATGGGTTGGATTGATTCTCTTTGACATATTCTTTACAATATACAGCCCTTGAAAATAATGAAATGGTCGTTTATTTATCTATAAGTTTACTAGTATACAAAATGTTGTATTAGGTTAAACATTTAAAGAAAGTTTTAGAAATGTTGCGTTCGGTTCACCATTTTGAAATGACCGCTGAGTTAACATTGCGGAATGTTCTAAATCTTTCCGTGCAAAAAGTGTACTTTACGCATACCAAATGCGAATCCTCATCACTACTTAGAGCATTTCAGCCATTTTTTTAAACTTTTAGGTTGGAAAGAGTTTCAAAATCTTTGATCTCTGGGTAAGTGTTCGCGAAGGAGTGTGAACAACTCTAGGCGCCAACAATCACCATGCTAGTTACCCTGCGTGAAGCATCGGAAGCATACTCAACAATCCACATTTACGAAACTGTGATTATTCCAATATGGCGAACCTATAGCATAATGTTTGCTAAACAAAACAAGATTTCTAGGACGATCGATTATAATAATTTTTGTATGTGTGTGATTCGTTTAGAATGCTTGGTAAATGAAGTTAAACAGTACATAATTGTTATATTGCATATAGGCACACTTTAAGTTTATATAGGCATATCGTAATCAATGAAACCTCCACATCGGTAAAGTTCGTAGAACTTCAGTTGTTTTCTAAAATCAGTCTTTGTATCCTGCAAAACAGGGTTCACGCGCATCTTTGCACACCAGCTGTACAAACTGGGAAAAACAGTTGCATCTGGAAAATTCTCCTTGAATATTTGACTTGCGATGGGTGCCCTTTCGGCCCACGGCCAAAGCATAAAGTCGATCATTTGGGGTTTTTCACCCCCGAAGTAGGTACCTGCAATGAAAATTGCTCATCTTTGAATTTGGTTCCATTTACCTCTCTTCCTCAACTCCTCGTCAAACTTGGCAACACGCGTTGTCAATTCCTGAACGCACGCAGGATAACTCGCCTCATCCTGTGACCGAATTCCACCGTGATAGATTGTCAGAAACTCGTCAAACTCTTTCAAAAGCGCAGCATCCCTTTCACGCCGCTGTTCGTCTTTCGAATGTAATGGTGGTTCAGGAAAAATTTCATCTAAATAGTCACATATGACTAAACTTTCCGGTATGATAGACGACCCTGTATCCAAGACGGGCACTTTGCCTTTAAAAAATGATTTCTAATTTACCTACTTGAATGAAGCGAAAGCCTTACCTAACGAATTTAATTCGAGAAACCACTCGGGCTTATTTGTAGTGTTTACATTCACAATTTCATGTGGTACATTTTTTAATGCCAATATTATGCGAGCTCGTTGGGCATACGGGCAGTATTGCATCGAATACAGTCGCCATTTCCCATCGTCGCTCTTTGCAGGAAATGCACTACCTACAATTTTAAATGCCGGTTTCATATTTCGATTTTTACATACCTTTTTGTAGATGTTTTTCACTCATGGTTTTTAAGTCACGAATACTCCACGTTCAAAGTTTATCTATGACTAGATTAATTGTTAACTATCTCTCGATTGGTTATTTGGGGGACATTGAATGTTTATAATTATGTGATTTAATCAGTGTTTTTCCGAACCGGTTTGAAGCATATATAATTGGGTGCCACATTTTTTAGGTAGGCGCGCCAGTTGTAAGACGTTTATCTGCATGTAAAATTATTGGGTTTATTTATTGCGTTGTTCCTTCACCTTCGGCTAATCCACGTTATCAAACCACCTTCCAATTATCACTGCTTCTGCAGAGAAGTCAAAGCTCTTTGGCTTTATCTATGGTGGTGTATCAATACACCCATCGACTAATGAGAAATGTATTTGAAGGGGTAGTAACTAATATATTGCAGTAACAGTGCCTAGGGTCATGTCAGGATACCTAGTGGGATTTGTTCTAGAGTCCATTTTATGGTTGTTAAGCACTCAGAAATTGAACACCACAAAAGACTATCCCTTTTTTTATTTTTTACATGTAATTAAAGTAAGTGGCTCCCCTAATACTATCCTCAGAATTAGATTTCGTTAAATAATGCTGGTTATTTCTTAGAAACGAAAAAAAGCAATTCGACTTTTGACCAGGAGTATAGAAGTATACCTAGCAGGTTAGGTACCTACTTAATAAAGTTGTCATAAAATTGAGGGACTTTACGACACCATGGTAAACTTTCCTTATCTTCGCTTGTAGAATGCGACTAGAATTTTAGGGGTTGCCGAATACAACGAAAAATGTGATAGGTTTTGACCTGTGGAACCCAAAACGACCACAATTTACGAAATTCGACTACTACACCAAAATTTATAGGCAAAAATGCCTATACGAGTATAGAGAAAAAGCAAAGGCTACACTTTGGCCTATGACTTTCGATGTGGTTGTTCAATCTTCAAAATTCTGGTCATGAAATAGAAAAGAGTGTTAATACTCTTGCCTCTAAATTAGTCGAAATACTCGTACTGACCAAAAAAAGGTACACCCAAAGTCTGAAAAGTAATATTGAATCACCCTGTACAACAACATTGCAAAAACAATTGTAAATTTACCGAGGGTGGTAGGTGCCCAGTATTTTGCAAATGGATGTTGAATATATTTTAAAAAATCTGCTGTATTAAATCTAGAAGGGAGAGGGAACCTATTTGGCCGCTTAAAAAAAGTGAAGCATATCCAAGAAAACCAAAAAATCAAATAAATATCTATTGCACAAATAATGCAGCATTTTAAAGCTATTTTCTTAAATTTCTAAACTAGCATATAACAGGAGAACCATCCGCGTTCAATTTTGGCTTCGGCATGCATATTTTTGTATTTCCATTGTAAACGCAGGTGTTAGTGAAATATCCGCACGTAGAAGACTGGCTATAATAAACTGAAGGAATTCGTTTTCCTGTCAGAACGTTCTGTACACCGGTTTCCGAGGTTGTCGTGGAGACGAATCCAGGTACACTTTCACCTGTTCTCCACTGATATTGTCGTGGCTGGTACGTGTAGCCAGAGCCGTAGCTGTAGTGGCCGTTTCGCGTGCCTGTTCTTGAAGTAATCGAATACGTGGGGTTTCTGTAAATAATTTCACCTCTACCGGGTACAAGCGACACTGTTTGCGCCTGCGAGTTGTACCCCGTTGCTTGTGTGTGGGGCTCGCCAGCTACCGACTTTACCACTCCCCGGAATCCTTTAGGTATCTGATATCCGCTCGTTCCAGGTACTTCTTGCCCAGGTTGTAGTACCGTACCCTCGGGTAGAGATGGTTGACCGTGCACTTGCATAACAACTGCGTCTATATCTTCCAATGGGTCGAGAACTACGTGCTGCTTTTGTGAGCGAGTGGTTTGACTAATAGTGTGCATTTTTGGGTGTACTTCCTCATCTTCGTCTTCATCTCCAACGTCATATTCTACAGAATAGTCATCAGAACTAGGAGAGATAGTTGTGGGATTTTTATGCTTCCGATTTTCACTATGAGTAAGCGAATCAGTGGACACATTTTGATTACTGATTTGTATCTCCTCCGGCAGAACAGTTATATTCAACGGTTTGATCTCTGGGAAGATTACCTTTCCGAATTGACTTTGATTTCTCAACTGTTCCACTGACCCAGATCCAGCTTGTGCAGAACCAACATATTTAATTCCTTGGTAGAATTTTCCTTGCAATTGTACTTGACTTTGACCCGAATGCGACCCACTCTGCGCAGCAGCTGTGCCACCTCCTCTAAATGGAGAATGATTACCTCCTTCATCTGTTTCATCATGTGGTAGAAATCCTATTTGAGCCTGTGATGATGTACTTCCCGGTCCATTTGCTTGAGCATCGGCCATTCCTCCTTTCATTCCACCTTGTACTTGTGTATTTGTGCCATGATTCAATCCACTAGACTGCGCGCTTGACGACGTCTGACCAGTTGCTGATGCTAATTCAACCTGAGCTTGCGACTGCCCTACTCCACCCGTCCCTTGAGCGCTACTCGTAGCTCCGTCTTTCCCACCTGATACTTGGCTAAGGGCCCCTCTTTTTCCGTCATTAGTTCCCGCAGATGCGCTAAACGATCCAGATCCACTGTAGACACCAGATACCTGCGATTGAGCGTTTCCCCCTGCATAATATCCTTGCGCAGACGCACTAGCTTGAGTTTCATTGTTCACTTGCTGAACAGAAGTTTGAGCTTGGGAATTAGCATCATCTTCTGCAGGGCGTTCGTAATTATCAGGAACACCCCCACCTGTTCCCCATTGTCCCGAGCCTTGTTCGCCTGAACCTGGATATCCTCCAGTAGGCCATCCTCCAGCTCCTGTACTTCCAGGCCAACCATCCGTTGATGACCCTCCCCCTGCTGTTCCACTACCAGGCCAACCTCCACTTCCAGGTTGACCTGTTTCTGTCCACCCACCAGGTCCTGAACCCCCGCCGCCAGGGTGGTCTACGCCTGGCCATCCACCCCCTGGCCCACCACCTCCGGGTTGGCTTCCTCCCGGCCATCCTCCATTTCCTGGCTCTCCTGCTCCGGGCCATCCAGAAGGTGATGGTCCGCCATTTCCAATTCCAGGTCGCCTTCCACCCGGTTGTCCTGTTCCAGACCATCCGCCGTTTCCAGATCCCCCACTTTCGTGATGTTGCCCAGGCCATCCAACAGCACCTGGCCCACCGCCTTCAGTTTGGCCCGTTCCTGGCCAACCACCTACTCCAGGCTCTCCACCGGCGCTCCATCCTCCAGAACCCGGCTGTCCACCTACACCTCCGTGTCCGGGTTCTCTCGATCCTGACCCTCCACCTACTCCTGGCTGTTCCCCATGTTGCCCTGACCATCCTCCGTGACCGGGTTCTCTCGCTCCTGACCCTCCCCCTACTCCTGAACCTCCCCCAGGTTGCCCTGACCACCCTCCATGTCCTGGAAATCCACCTACACCCGGCCCTCCACCACCGTGATGACCGGGCCCTGGCCACCCACTTCCGCCCAGCTTTCCACCCCCATACTGTTCGAAGTTATAATTTCCAGCAAAGGAACCTTGAAATTTTCCATCGGAACCATGGCCACCAGAACTTGAAGGTCCAACAGGATAACCTGTAGGTTTACCATTGCTATCGTACTTTCCGCCAAAAGTGCCGGAAAATTGACCGTTTTGGTTATTCGATTGACCATAGACTCCGGCAAATTCGCCACTGAATTTTCCACCAGGCCAAGCGCCACCAGGTCGAGTTGCTTGACTTTCTGGAGAACCTCCGTTTACATCTGGTTGGCCTGGATATCCACCCGGTCTACCACCTCCTGGATAACCCGGCCCCGGATAACCTCCTACACCACCATTGCCTCCAACCCCTGGGCCTCCTGGGTAGCCTGGCCTTTGCGGTTGTCCTGGATAACCCCCCGGGCCTCCATTCCCTCCTGTACCTGGACCTCCGGTTCCTCCTGGGTAACCTGGATGTAGCGGTTGTCCTGGGTACCCTCCCGTACCTCCATTTCCTCCTGGATAACCTGGATGTTGCGGTTGTCCTGGGTAGCCTTCCGGGCCACCATTTCCTCCCGGGTAACCTGGTTTATGGGGTCCTCCTGGATAACCGCCCGGCCTGCCACCTCCTGGGTAGCCTGGTTGATGTGGTTGTCCTGGATAACCACCCGAACCTCCATTTCCTTCTGGGTAACCTGGTTTATGCGGTTCTCCTGGATAGCCGCCAGGTCCACCACCTCCTGGGTAGCCTGGTTGATGTGGTTGTCCTGGATAACCACCCGGACTTCCATTTCCTCCTGGGTAACCTGGTTTATGCGGTTCTCCTGGATAGCCGCCCGGTCCGCCCCCTCCAGGGTAGCCTAGTTGATGTGGATGTCCTGGATAACCACCTGGACCTCCATTTCCGTTTCCTCCTGGGTAACCTGGTTTATGCGGATCTCCTGGATAGCCTCCCGGGCCATTTCCACCGGCACCTGGGCCTCCTGGGTAACCTGGTTGTGGTGGACCGTATCCGTTAACATCATACTGTCCCCCGAAAGTACCAGAAAACTGTCCGTTTTGATTGGTTGTATGTCCATAAACTCCAGAGAATTCGCCACTGAATTTTCCACCATGCCAAGTACCTGGTTTTCCGTCGGGGCCGTAAGCTGGACCACCATTACCGCCTGGTCTGTGCGGCTGTCCTCCGTTTTGTCCTGGATAAGTGTCAGGACCACTTGGTCTATATGGGGGGCCACCGTTGCCGTCCGGTTTTCCATCTGGACCGTATGGTGGTCTGCCGTTTTGGCCTGGGCCGTGATCGCCTGGTTTTCCACTTGGTCCATATGGACGGCCGCCGTTTTGCCCCGGTCTACCGTCTGGCCCATATGGTGGTCCACCGTTTTGTCCCGGTCTATGATCGCCTGGTTTTCCACTTGGTCCGTATGGAGGACCACCGTTTCCTCCCGGTTTTCCATCGGGATATGGGCCACCGTTTCCTCCTGGTTTTCCACTAGGGCCATAAGGAGGCCCACCATCTGGACCATGTGGTGGTCCACCGTTTTGGCCTGGATATGTGCCTGGATCGTGATCGCCTGGTTTTCCACTTGGTCCATATGGAGGGCCGCCGTTTTCTCCCGGTCTACCGTCTGGCCCATATGGTGGTCCACCGTTTTGTCCCGGTCTATGATCGCCTGGTTTTCCACTTGGTCCGTATGGAAGACCACCGTTTCCTCCTGGTTTTCCACTAGGGCCATAAGGAGGCCCACCATCTGGACCATATGGTGGTCCACCATTTTGTCCCGGATAAGTGCCCGGTCTATGATCGCCTGGTTTTCCACTTGGTCCATATGGGGGACCACCGTTGCCTCCCGGTTTTCCGTTGCCATAAGGTGGCCCAACCGGTTTTCCATCAGGTCCATATGATGGACCACCATTTCCACCCGGTAAATAGGGTGGCCGACCGTTACCGCCTGGTTTACCTCCAGGCCGTTCACCCTGATTTTCTGGCACACCTGGTCTGCCTCCAAATTGCATTGTTTGATCTTGCCCGTAACATCCGTCGCAACCAAAAGGGCTCGATTGACTTTGCGCCTGTCCCATTCCGCTACTTCCCGCTAAAATAAATCGTGAGCAGATAATGCACGACAATTAACCAGTTACTTACTGACTACCGCCTTTGATAAACCATAAGATGCCTCGGCTTCTGCTCGACCGGGAATACTTCCCCCATTCCCATAGTTCAAATACTGTGACTGGGTTTGCCCGCGTACTCTTCCGGGGTAATAATTTTGAGGTGAGCGTTTCTTTCGCACGTTGACGTCGTTTGCAAATATATCGTTTGCCGAATCTTCATCGTTTAGGTCGGTCGGCTTTGGAAAAAATTCTTGGAGGAGATATGTGGGAAAACCTCGACAGAACTCCACAATTCTGGAACCTGCTATGGCGTACACCTAAAAATGAAATAAAATAATTGAATTTGCGGCTTTTTCAAAAGGATATTAGATGAAGACGGGCTCACCTTTCGTTTTGTTAGCTTAGAATCGTACATATAGAGTATTTTTGGATTTGCTTTTATTTGGGCCTGCTTTTGTGCATTTGAATTTAATTGCATCCTCTCTATGAAACATTTTGATCCAATTAGATCCTTGTAGGCAACCACGTGCTAAAATTGAGTTCATTTCGATTTCAGATTGAAAGATCACTCACCGTTTGGTAATCATAAAACGTTTTAGCTTTCTCTATGTCACTTTTGGCAAGCACCTCTGTTCGCTTTTCTTCAATTGGCTCTGGCTCTGCATTTGAAATCTGAAAGTTTCAAAAATCGTTAGACTGGATTGCAATGTTATCAGTGTTTATTTATGAAATTTAAAAACGTTATCAATGTGAACTAAATATGTTTCTAAATGAAGCATAAAACGAGAATTTTACGTTTACATTTTAGCTAAGTAGAACAGCGGAATAAATTGAAAAAATTGACAAAATTAAGCTAGGAAAGATTGTTATTAACGGATAATCTGGTGCGGTTCCAATGCCTTTTGACCGCACCTTTGAACCATAACGAATTTTGTGAATGAGCCGATTATCTACATTCAATTATCCATTCAGAAAGCTACTTTAAACGTAAAAATCTAAAAATACTTACGGCCGTTTGTCGAAATTCACCATGACTAAAAAGCGCAAAAAATGTGAGAAAATATAGCATTTTTCTCTCCATCTTCGGAAATTAACCGCCCAGCGGCCTATCTACAAATATCCACGAAACGAATTTCTTTTCTTGACCTCTGATTCGAGTTATCCTCTGCCAGAAGATATTGCTACTGTTAAATACTTGTCCTATTTTACATGGAGCAAAAAAATGTTCCCCACTCATCTTTAGTTTTAGCGCCAGATTAACCAGATTAAAGCGTTGAACAATTTCCGGCAATGATATTATACACAGGCTGTATTACCAATCCGTCCTATGCTGGTTGACACTGTAATACTTTTAAATGTATAACACTCTGTATTTTATGTTTAAATTAATTGCGTAAATTGCATAAATGTGTATCGTAGGGGCATCGGACATGCCACATTTAGCATTGATGACTTATTAATTGAATTTTGCAATTTCAAAATTTTATCATCTTTGAAGTTTTATATATTTTTAACGTCATGTACGTAGTCAGTCCGTTTCTTTCGCATTGGCAAAAATTTTTTACTAATTCACTCCAGTAATTAAACGTAGGAAAGAAATATTCTGAAGGAGAGCTATCAAAGTCAAATACGTAGGAACGTTATTCGGAAAATTGAAATTCTTTCCATACTGGGAAAACTACGAGAAACGGCCATCAGTCGTCGAGGATAAATCACTCATTCATGGTGTCTTGTTTTGAATTGGGGTGAAAAATTCCGAAACAAGTAAAATTTCCTTGTTCCCTTTAATGAGTTTTTTTGAGTTGTCCACCACAACCCCCGGTTCATTGCCTCTCTCTGTATCCCCACATTCTTCAAATCATCAATCCCTATTCTTTTTCTTTTTCCTTGCTTCCCTCCACCTCCAGTCTACACCGATTCCTCCAATACGTCTCTCATCATTCCATTACCCCTCAATATGTAGCTCACCCAGTGTCTCTTTATCTTTTTAATATTACTTACTGTTGTAACTCCAAACTAAATATTTCACCGGTCATTTTCTCAATTTTAAATGCATCTTACTGTTAAGTCCCACTCTCTTTCTCATATACGCTGTCTTGACCATTCCAAGTTTTAGCATTATCTCCTTTTCACTCAACCAATCGTGTGATATTACCACAGATTTAAACACTCTAAATCTGTGATATTATTATGCCTAACTGACCGCCTGACTGACCTTACGTTTCTGCCACTCCCTTATTCCTTATCCAGCACTTCCAACACTACATACTCCATGTAAATATTAAATAAAGTTAGAGATAGATAAAACATCTCCGCCTAACTCCTCTTCCTATTCCAAACCGTTCATTTTACCACCGACCTTCAGTGCCACTTCCTGCTGCGTGTACAATCTTCTTTCTTTCCAATTCACACCCTTATCCCTTAACATTTCCAACAGTTTTTCGTATTTCACACTATCGAAAGTCTTTCTCGTTCTATACATCTGCGATAATAGAATCCAAAACAATTCGTACTTTTTCGATCAGACTTCTCAATCAAAAGTTATAGACTAGAAACCAATTTCGAAAGAAAATTCGAAGTTCTGTAACTTTGGAACTAGTAGCCCAATCTTGAAACTGTTTGAAATTATGGATTCTTCGTACTTTTTCGATCAGACTTCTCAATCAAAAGTTATAGACTAGAAACCAATTTCGAAAGAAAATTTAAAGGGCTGTAACTTTTGAACTAGTAGCCAATCTTGGAACTGTTTGAAATTATGGATTCTACAGGCCACATTCTATAAGAAAATTTTTTTTCCGGGTCGATCTGAGACAATTTTTTTTCGAGCCTCAAAAAAAGGCAGTGTATAACCTTCCTTTTTTACCAAAAATCGACTACACCAAAATTTCTCGGGAAAACACTTTCTTATTAAATTTGGTGCGTAGAATCCAAAACAATTCGTACTTTTTCGATCAGACTTCTCAATCAAAAGTTATAGACTAGAAACCAATTTCGAAAAAAAATTCAAAGGGCTGTAACTTGTGAACTAGTAGCCCAATCTTGGAACTGTTTGAAATTATGGATTCTACAGGCCACATTCTATAAGAAAATTTTTTTCCGGGTCGATCTGAGACAATTTTTTTTTCGAGCCTCAAAAAAAGGCAGTGTATAACCTTCCTTTTTTACCAAAAATCGACTACACCAAAATTTCTCGGGAAAACACTTTTTCTTATTAATTTTGGTGCGTAGAATCCAAAACAATTCGTACTTTTTCGATCAGACTTCTCAATCAAAAGTTATAGACTAGAAACCAATTTCGAAAGAAAATTCAAAGGGCTGTAACTTTTGAACTAGTAGCCCAATCTTGGAACTGTTTGAAATTATGGATTCTACAGGCCACATTCTATAAGAAAATTTTTTTTCCGGGTCGATCTGAGACAATTTTTTTTTCGGGGCTCAAAAAAAGGCAGTGTATAACCTTCCTTTTTTACCAAAAATCGACTGCACCAAAATTTCTCGGGAAAACACTTTTTCTTATTAATTTTGGTGCGTAGAATCCAAAACAATTCGTACTTTTTCGATCAGACTTCTCAATCAAAAGTTATAGACTAGAAACCAATTTCGAAAGAAAATTCAAAGGGCTGTAACTTTTGAACTAGTAGCCCAATCTTGGAACTGTTTGAAATTATGGATTCTACAGGCCACATTCTATAAGAAAATTTTTTTCCGGGTCGATCTGAGACAATTTTTTTTTCGGGCCTCAAAAAAAGGCAGTGTATAACCTTCCTTTTTTACCAAAAATCGACTACACCAAAATTTCTCGGGAAAACACTTTTTCTTATTAATTTTGGTGCGTAGAATCCAAAACAATTCGTACTTTTTCGATCAGACTTCTCAATCAAAAGTTATAGACTAGAAACCAATTTCGAAAGAAAATTCAAAGGGCTGTAACTTTTGAACTAGTAGCCCAATCTTGGAACTGTTTGAAATTATGGATTCTACAGGCCACATTCTAAAAGAAAATTTTTTTCCGGTTCGATCTGAGACAATTTTTTTTTCGGGCCCCAAAAAAAGGCAGTGTTATACCTTCCTTTTTTACCAAAAATCCACTGCACCAAAATTTCTCGGGAAAACACCTTTTCTTATTAATTTTGGTGCGTAGAATAGTGCGATTGTATCTCTGGTTCCCAAACCCCTTCGGGATTCCAATTGCTCATCCCCTACGTTATCCTTCTCAGCCTCCTATCCAAACCCGCAACCACATTTTAGCAGCACGAACTATAACACTGACGATTCTGGTTTCCTCGCATTTCGTGGTTCCCTTCTTTTTTTTTCAAAGAAAATCTTCAGACCACACACTACTCTCGCAAATCTCATAACACAAATACCCCAGTTCCTTCTTTGAATCGCCTTTATTTCTGACCTCAAAATATTCCCACCATTTTCTTCCTATGATAGTTCCTCTATATTTATAGGTACACCATATTTATTACTTTGTTGAACACGATGACGTGCCGTCCTATTTGATGATCGAGATCTTCTCCTTGCATTCATTTAGCAGACCTGATGGCTTCCTCGCCCTTTTAGTTTTTCTTTTTAATTCAATATTCAGTTGCCGGTGTTTCATTTTTCCCTTTATCGGATCTTGCCGCTTATACTTCTTCCTTTATTCCATCTTTTCAATCATTTCTAATGTTATCCGCATGTCTTCTTTATCCTTTTAGTTTCTCTTTTCAATATTCAGTTGTCGGTAATTCATTTTTCCCTCTGTCGTCTCTTGCAGCTTATACTTCTTCCTTTTTTCCATCTTTTCAATCATTTCAAATGATATCCATGGCTTCTTGACCCTTTTAGTTTCTCCTTTTAATTCAATATTCATTTTCGATATTTCATTTTCCCCCCTGTCATACCTTGCCGCTTATACTTTCTCCTTTCTTCCATATTTTCAATCATTTCAATGTTATTCAAGGCTTCTCGACCCTTTTAGTTTCTCCTTTTAATTCAATATTCAGTTGTCGGTATTTCATTTTCCCTCTGTCGTATCTTGCCTCTTATACTTCCTTCTTTCTTCCATCTTTTCAGTCATTTCAAATGTTATGCATGTGTTCTTTGATATTTTTCTTCCATCGCATTCTTCATGCTCTTCCATTTGTCTTCTGTAGTTTCATGACTCTTCATTGCAACCTCCCATCTCATTTCAATTTCCATTAGTGTCTTTCCTATATATTTTTATCCGTCTCCTTTAATTTTACAAGACCCCATTCCTTTACGTTTTTTGCGACTTTAATCCTTGGTCACTATTGACATCTGCACCTGGAAATCTACACACATCTTTTAAACCATTTCTGTATCTCTCTTCAATCATGATGAAATCAATCTGCTTTCGATATCTGCCGCCAGGTGATTTTTTATGATGTTCGAACCAAGTGTTGGCTCTGACCATCTTCCTTTCTTGCATAATTCTATTAGACGTCCACCCCCTTTCATTGCTTGCTCCCAATTCATAATCTCCACCGACTCTGTTCATTCTACCTTCTCCAATACTAACGTTCGAGTCCCCCATCACTATTTTGCAACAACGTCGTCTCTTCTTTTTCCATTCTATTGTCTTGTTCATTTCCTCTATTACACTATCTTTATAAGGAATCATTACTTCATTCCGTCCCTTCAAGTAACTTTTTTCCCTCATGGCTCTCATATTAATTTTTGGGGGGACTATCAGATTCTCTTCTCCAACAAGGAATTTCAGAGAACCTTTCATGTATTCCAGTTAAGCGCAGCAGCAAAGCAATGTTGTTGAATAATACATTTATTTGGAAAATAATCTTACAACGAAAAGTACAAAAGAAAAGATGATTGTCAGCATTAATGACAGACTGCAGAATTGCCAACTACTAACTAATAATATAACTAACTTAAGGCGGGAAACAACTAGGTACTTCAACATCATGGACGTTTTTTGGAAATAACTGTGAGACTACTGTATACTGAGGAGCCATCCCCCCTCCCCAGACTCCCCCCGTAACACTCTCTCAAAATACATTTTGCCTCCATGGTTCTCAGAACACTTTTTGGGTAGATTATCCGATCCTCCAGAGAGAAAGTGTTACCGAGGGGTCTGTGGAGTATGAAATACCACTCATTATACGGTAGTCCCATTGTTATTTCCAGAAAACGACCATGAAAGTACAGAGGGTTTTAGAAAAAGGAGTTACCGGGTCTTCCTTTGCAGATTCTCTTCTCCAACAAAGAATTTCAGAGGACGTAGTTCTCCGTCGCATAGAAGTAGTAATATAATTCCTTGGGCGTCCGACTAAAATTGATTCACCCTCGTTTATAGAAGAAGATCAATGAATAAATGGAGGCGACGTTAAATTTACAGTGCAACATGTAACATGATTTCCCTATACAGGAATTTTTTTAATTAATAAAAATGATTAAGATATATTTAGGTATGCATGGTAGTGTTTTACTTGGTACTAATAATGAGTCGACCGCATTCGCCGGAAAAGTGAAACAGAGCGACAAAAAAAAATTTAAGTGTTACATTTGCGAAAAACTTGGACACAAGCAGATGGAGTGCCCGAACAGAGACAAAGAAAAAACTTAACTGGCCACCGGTAAGGGGTTTAAAAACTTCGAGTGGAAAATAGACATTAAATAATTTCGTCAAATAAACAAAGATCCGTTTGTAATCATTTTAATATAAAAGTACAAGTCACAAATTCTACAAAATTGAGAATATAAACCTAATTGCATTTATAAATGAACCATTCCTATATATAAAAATTAAATGTGAAACAGGCACTTAGTTAAACACTGACAGATCATTTATACACGGGAATGAATAAGCCTAAAAGAATTCGATTATGTATAGGGAATGAACTCAAATGTAGTACACATACAATAAACTACAAATTAGCACGTAAGTCCACACAACTACAACTACAGGTATTGCATCTCTCGGCCTTAATTGCTTATAGGTACACGAAACGTATTAAGTACTAGGTAAATAAATAATATTAACAATAAATAATGACTAGGACGCTTTATATCATTAGCCGATACATTAATGAGAACAAATGAAAGCAAAACCTAAATTTGTTAGTGACTCGCAGTTAGTAAAAAAAAAGAAAAAGAAAAACGGAAAATTTTCCTATTTATACATTTCACTAAAAACCTTGTTCTGTGAAATGTATTTTCGACTAGTTACACTCTCGTCAAGTATAATAAACAAAGGACGTTATCGACTCACTGATCAAACCTCTGCTTAAAAACAAAACAATAAAACTAACTTAAATTAATTTGCTGACAACTAAAAATAATAACCCTGGTCTTATCGGCTAATAGTATTTTTAGGATACCATAGCCATATCTAATCCTACATTTCGCATTATTCTACGGCTGCCTTTGAGGGCGAATAGCACCATTACGACTGCTCGCGCTTAAAATCTAATCGACTAAAATTATGGCACAGACAAAAGGCACACGAAAATACATTTGGACGCAAAATTGGTTCCCGAGTGGTCCCTTGGAATACGAAAAGGTTAGATTTATACTGTGATTGCCAGACCAATGGCATAGCCGGTCGTGTGCTCACTGGCCTGATTGAAAGGATCCCGTCCCGTCGAGGAGAAGTCCATCGGCTGGTCCTGCATGAGGGAGTTGATTTTGAGAGTGGCGCCAAATCGGCTAGCGTTCAGTATGACGGAGGGGTGTTCGAATGTGGAGTAAAGGAGGCGTTCCGGGTTTGGAGATATGACGGTTGATCTGTACAGCATTGGCGATCTGACGGGACGATCGGGGCTGTTGAATGGCCGATCAGGGCTTCTAATTACGGATTCGGGTGGTCTGGATGAGGCCGATACTATCACCGGGGTTGGGGAGGCGAGGTTTTTATCGGGCGAGGTCTCCCTCGACGATTGTCGCCCGTTTATCCGCATGCAGGACGACTCCTCGTGCTTGTACAGGTAGGACTTGAGCGCGAACGCCTTGCCGCACCGTCCGCAAATGTGCGGCTTGGTGTTGGAGTGTGTCTGGACGTGGGCGCGGAGGTTGGACTTATCGGCGAACGCTTTCCCGCAGATCGTGCATTTGAACGGTTTTTCGCCGGTGTGAGTCCGGATGTGCCCCTGTAACAGCCAGGGGCGGGAGAAGCATTTGCCGCAGAAGTGACACTTGCAGCCTTGGTTGTGCGTTCGGACGTGCATGGAGAATGCGGGCATACTGACGTAGAGTTTATCACAATGTGGACATCTTCGCGCCTTTTTATCGGCGGGGCTGCGATGGGTCTGGCGATGACGCGCCAAATTGCTGGATGTACTGTAGCGCTTACCACAATCAGAGCATTCATGCTCGTGATGGTCGTGCTGGTATGGATCTGACCCTTTACTCGGCCCAAACACCTCTGACGCACCATTTTGGGGCTCAACTTGTCTCGGTGGGTCTTCATTCTGTCAACAAATATTGTAATTATACTGCCGGCGATCCTACAAGTAATCACCTTAAGCAAGTGAGGTCGCAGTGATTTGGTTGATTTGTCAAACAGCTTGTGAGTGTATGTGTAGGAATACTCGTCTTCTTTCTTGCTCGGAGTTGCGGAGAGATGTGGATGATCCAAGATCTGGCCGGCCGCCGCTGCTAAACTTACTTCGGCTAATTTCGTTAGATTGTAAAGTTCGTCTGGACATTCGGAACTACTGTCGGACATTTGCAGATCGGCCGGAGTCGTTTCTGCCACACTCACCGTCCTTTCGGGGCTCTGATCTGTAAAATGCAAAAACTCTAGAAGAAATGCTCACAGATACACAAATGAATTAAGTAAAAAACTCGCAACGTTTACAAAAATATGGTCGTTGGTTTTGAATTTGTATTTTTTTAAACATAGGGATATTTCCACATGTACCGGTTCATAGTAAACTTGAACTAAAGTAAGTCTAGCGATAACAAACGAATAGAAGAAACGTAGTGGGGAAAGCGAGCGTGAAATAGCCAGAGAAGTGGAAGAGCGAGTACGCATCAATTTGGGTACGCTAATTATTATTCTTTGTTTATTTCAAGTAAAAACGAAAGGTTTTTGTTTTACTTAAAGAGCGACTACGTACAATAACCGGAGTGTGAAAAAATTGATTCGCAGTCGACATTTTTAGTTGCGTTGTGAGAAATAATCTCTCGTATGAAATCACCATCGATTGTGACAAAAATCCCTCTCAATTATTTTATTTCTTTAGCATGTCAAGACCACAAGGATCTCCTAGTCTGCGTTGTTCCCCCTTTCGGTAAGTATCCTCTTTTAAAATTTACTAAAGACAGACGCCTATCCGGTTTATTATTACTACATTTCCTTTTTGCTTCGTTTTCACTAGTGTACGAGAACCCCATTATTCACCCCGACCCACTTTTACTTTGCGTGAGCTTACCGTGGGCTTATGTCAGGGTAATTTATTTACGTAACGGACTGCAGATGGTTCTCAGAAAATTTAAAGAAAATTCGGTAAGAATGATTCCACTGATATGTTAAAGATTCTGATGGTTCTAAAAGTTCTGCAACTTCTGAACATTCCAAATGTCTAAAAATTCCAACCAACTCTAAAGATTCTCGTAATTTCTGAATGTCAGGATGAATCGAGGGGTTGATCACGGGGAAATATTACTAAACTTTGGGGAAAGAGGAGGAAATTTCAAAGGAGTGAAGAAATTCTAGGAAATTTTGAGAGACAATCTAGAGCAAATTTTAAGGAAATAAAAGGTTTCTATAGGCAAATAACGTTACTCATTTCACGTTAATTCGAAGAAATTTAGGGAAATTTAAGGCAGTGGTAGAATGAGAAATTAAGGGAAATGGTAGCAATTTTTATACAATGAAGGAAACGTTTGTCCCTTAAAATAAGCAGTGACCAACCCCGAGGGGTTGATCATGATGGAAATTCTTGTCCCTCATGTAGGAAGTATCTGGGAAATGTGACGAAATTGGAGGATTAGTAAATTTTAGGAGGAAATTTCAATTAAGGAAATCTTCGTCCTCGAAAATAACTCGTGAACAACTCCCCGGGATGAATATGGTCGAGTCGGAGCATAAATCATAAGGCCCTCTCATTTCAGTGGTGAAGAATGTTCACATTTGCCCAAAAACGTAAAAATTTGGACACATGCGTTACAATTTAAATCTGTCTTATGTCTTAGAGTATCCTTGGAGTCTTATTGTTATGGTCTTAGGATCATCTTGGACTTTCTTAGAATTTTCCATGATTCAAAACCTTTTTTTAGAACCCTGTTAGAACCTCAACTTACTCAACTAAGGTGTTAGAGATGAAATCAGTCAAATAGCATGCATGTAATTTTCTTCCTTGGGGACAAACAAAATCCGTATATTTAGACAGCGTGTCTATTACAAGAGATAGAAAAACTACAAAAATTGTGGGGTTTATTATAAATCGCCAGAAAATATAAAATAACAAAACAAATAAATATCGCAAAATTAATAAAAAGTCCAAATTTGGTAAATTTTTAATGGAACGCCCTGTATATTTTTCAAAAATTGAATAGATCTCTCCTTTCCGATTTCAAATAATTTTGGCAATTGCTTTATTTGCATACCATCAAACTGTTTTACAAAATCGTAGTTGCCATGATAAAATAAATTCGAACGCTATTAATAATCAGTTTACCTACGCCTCATATTTCGTTCCATACGTTTATACTTTTCTTTTCATTAATCGCGTTCGAGAAGTTCATATTACACAATCGTTTTGTAGCTTGTGACCACGGTGAATTATTATTCACCGTGTTTGTGACTAATTCTCCGTGTTTCGTAATTTGGACATTTATTTAGTATATGTTTAATCGGTACACTGACATGACATATATTGCACAGTGGAGGGTTTACGCCTTTAAATAAGTGTTGATGTGTAATTTTAGTGTGTCCAATTCGCACACGATGGATCATAACATTATCCTCCTTAGTTGCGGCTTTCAGCTCATGTAGGCTATCAACCCGGGGCTTGATCATGGACAGGTGGATATTTTGCATTTCCCAGTAGTCTATCTATGGTACTTATACTGTCAGTGACAATCAGAAAATGGCTTGATTGCACCTCGATAGAACAGAATAGTATTGCTTGCCATAAGGCATATTGCGTATGTTTTAGACCCATCTGTATGCTGATGGATCTTATGTAAGGGGTATTCCTTACAGATGTTTTGAAATTCATGTATGTAGAAACTATTTGGGGTGGTTTCCTGCTTATATTTCGACAGGTCATTTCTAACGGAATCTTCTCAAAAGGCCTGATCTCCAGTATAGTAGGTAGAGTTACATTCATGTTCACAATCTCATCCCAGAACCTTTGCAGGACGAGTTACTTTTTCAACCGTTCTGAACTATTTGATTAATTTTAGATTGTAATTTGCGTGCAATTTTACCGATAAATTTTCCACCACAAAATATCGCGATGTCGTCAACGTATAAGCATTTGTTTATATTATCTGTCACACTGGATATTTTTACATCTTAGTGTTGTATGTCCATATTGTTGACATTTGAAGCATCTCATTAGTGGGGGGATATATGGCTGAACTCTTAATGTGTAAAAATCCGGTAGTTGAGTCTAGTTGAACGTAATCCTTTCTCCTGATCCTTTTCACCGCGACTAGTCGTAGAGAACGGTCGGATGAGGCTCGTTTCCGACCGATGCTGGGGACAAACCGAACCCCTGCACCGTATAATGTGGGCGCCCCGAAGGGTTCGAGAAATTTGCCATGTAATAAAGTAGCTAGTTGCCGGGTTTACATTTTATCGCTAATGCCAGCGAGCATGCCTTGTTTTGTGGTTTTTTTTAGAGGGTTGTGGGGATAAAACGTACCTGGAGAAAAGGATAGGAGAGTAGGGAAGATGGGTCTGGGAGTTGGAAACAAAAGTAGGTAACTAAGCACTAAAGGCGGTTGGAACCCCTCGCTTTTAGTCCCGATTGATCGCGTTTTACGATCTCCAAGATGGGAGTGGGTAAAAAAATTCACTGTCAAAACTGTTTTATTCCACTCCATCCATAAAATGGGTTATACAGAAGAAGAAAAGGTAGAAATAGTTCGCTTATATTACAGAACCGACAATAATTTTGCAAATTTCAACATAGAATCTATTTTTGGAATCAGAATGAGCGCCATAAAAGCGCCACGCGCTGTCTAAATATTCAGAATAGCCCTGTACATTTACATTTATTTTCTTGAAATGGTCACCACTTGCTTTGTACGATCCGTATACAGTGTGAGTTTTTTTTCATTTTCACTATTGGGATCTCGTAAAGAATTACAGACCCAAAGTCGCTTAATGGGCAAAGTTATACAGAATTTTATCAATGAATAAGTAAGGTCAGCCCTCTTACCAATTTGTCCACCTGAACTCCTCTATTTAGTTTTTCGTTTTCGTCAACAGAACACAGAATTTGAACTAAAAAGCCAAACATAAAGAGTTCGTTGGAAAAAGTGTTAGGATCTTTTTAATATTCATATTTTTCAACCTATTCTTCAGATTCCAACACAGTTGTTTTTAATTTTTTAATTTAATATACAGTGTGTCCACGAATTGAGTGCACCAATTTTTTTAGAATTGGCTGTTCTGAGGATCCCTTTCCAAACTAAGCTATTAAATAATGAGCTAAATCAATTAATATACAGGATGTTTTTTTGCCGAATTCTAAAATTAACCTATAGTAAACTGTTTTTATTTTAACAGTTATAACAAAAATGTATTTGAAAAAGTTGTTTCGAATTTAGAAAAGTTATGGAAGACTTTCAATTTATTTTCATACAAATCAACTTACAGTTTACTCTTAACTAATCTGTAGAATTCGGCAAAAAACACCCTGTATATTAATTGATTTGGCTCATTTTTAGTTTGAGATCAAGCAGGAATGATCCTCAGAACATGAAGAGAAATTTATGATATACAACTTATGTGCACTCAATCCGTGGACACACTGTATTGTAATTACGTATTTTTTATTTGTGATTTGTTGAGTTAAAAAACAAGCTGTCGTTCAGTATTGTCCAACCATCCGGAGAGTAAGGACACGCTTTTTGGCGGAACTCGTTTTTGTATACCATGCAAGTGGAAATGCAGCGCTCGCTGAAGCAAAGGAGACGTCCCAGGAACTTGTGGATTTGTCTGACTACGACCCCCCCCCCCCACCTCTTTTTGGAAAATGTAACAGATGATGAGTTTTGAGTGTTCGAATATCATTCTGAAACAAAAAGACAAACTGCTGGGTGGTGCACCTTGGCATCCCCTCGCCCCAAGAAGGCACCAACGATTCTCCAGCCACCCTACAGTCCTGATCTGTCTCCCCTGGGCATTTTTCTGTTCTCTCGCTTGAAAACTCCTTTGAAAGGTCATCGTTTCGGAACAGTTGAGAAGGTCTTCCGCGACCCCTTCGACGCCTGGAAATCTTGCTGGTAGCGCTGCGGGAGGAGAGTATTTTGAAAAATTTTAATGTTGTAGAAGGATCTGGTCCAATCAATTTTTTTTAATCAAATCGGTGAGATTTCTTTCCGGACAGACCCTGTTTAATTGGTGTAATTTAAACAGTCCATGAGAGTTTGGTACTGGAATTAAAGATCGTCCTTTCTGCGTATTTTCAATCGAATGGAGTATTGTTATCTTAATTTGTTTCGGAAACCTAGGCGACCAGATGTCTGGAACGGGGATCACATTCAGTAATTTATAATAATAATAATTATATTAGTTTCAAATGTATACTCGGCGTGATGCC